AGCTCATAGCGCTCGGGTTGCAGGATGCGCACGAAGGCGTCCATGGAAAAGGACACCCTGGCCTCCCCGCAGCTGCACTGGGAGGCCACTTTGCCATAATCAATCCATCGCGGGGTGGCGAAGTTGATGGCTTCCGCGCAGTTGAAGCCGTGGTTGAAGCCAGAGTGGTAGCCATAGGGAAAGGTCACCATGAACTCTCCAGCCTCCTGAGTGATCCGACTGAAGGGGATCCCGTGGTCCTTGAGGACAGTAGGCGAGATGAGAGCCACCTTGTGCCTCATGAAGGCCTCACAGCCCCGGGAACTGCCCGGGAACAGCTCCCTGGCCAGGCGTTCCAGGCGCTGGCCGTGTTCTGGGGGCACCGCGTACCAAGTCTTGGGCTCCCCGAAGTGCAGGTAGTTGATGCTGTAAAGGTCCATGTCCTCCGTGTGCCAAGCGAACGTGGTCTTCCACATGCCGAAGTAGAGGTAGGGCGTGTTGACACCTTGGATGACAACTCCACACTCCTGCTCCAACAGGTCCTGAATGGTTCCTAGGTGTCCAAGGTTCCACTCTTTAGTGTTTTCATCAAATAAGGAGCCGCTGTCAGCACCATATATCGGTGAATCATAGAGGCGAGTTTTCCAATATTTTCTCTCCAAGTCCTCAAAATCCACGTGTGGTGGAGTCCGATATCTGTCACTGTTTGCCAAGTGGCGATACTCCCCCACTGTCATGGCTTTCTTCTTTTTGTGGTATTGAGAAAACACGCCTGCCTGCCCCGAGGCCACCTGCTGGAGGGGAGTGACTATTAAGATGTCACTGATATCATCATAGGTAGGTCTGGCTTTCCATTCTTTTGGTGGAATTATCTTAGCCAGTCCTGCTCGGTGTGCACCTTGGGATTCTATGTAAGCAATATATTTATCGAAGTCACTAAATTCTTCTTTGGTTGGACGAAATATCATTATGCTGCAACTTGGGTTCTGGGCAGAGCTGGCCTTAGACTTCATAGCTTCCGTTAATAAGCCACAAACTCGCAAGTATTTAGGTATGTTCTGGATAGTTGAGGATGCTGGAAAATGCTACTTTTTCAAAAATGAGTTTGAGTGTCTATGAGTCAGTAGGAACCACCAGTGGACTTTTATGCAAATAAGATGATAATGTTTTTTAAGCTTGCTGATTCACCAGGGAACTCTGCTCTGGTCAGATGCTTTGCCCAGGCAGTGATGGTGGCTGAGCCTTCCAACTGATGTTTCTCAGTTGGTTCCTTGCTCTATCCTCTTGACGTCTTTCAAATCATCCAATCCTGGATATGTAACACAAATGTAGTATCTTCAGGGAAGTGTTTAAAACAAAATCTAAAAGACAGAATACAGAAACGTTGAAAATTAATGTTTGGAAAAAATTAGGAAACTACAAATAAAATACCACCATGGAATATTATTGCACTCAAAGGTTAAAATTTCATAAGATTGACAACACAAGTGATGATGTAGATGTGGAACAATAGGAATTCTCATATCCTAGTATAGATAATGGCAATCATTACATTCACTTTGGAAAACTATTTGGACAGTATCTACTAAAATTGAGCATATGCATGTGTGAAGTTGAACATGTGCATGTGCTAAGATTCAACTGTTACCACATGACTAGGAAATGTGTACGGCTGTGCACTGAAAAGTCATGTCCAAGAACATTCATAACCACATTATTTCTAGCACACAAATACTGGAAACATTCAAATGTCCATCAACAGTAGAATGGATAAATACATTGTGGTATACTCATACCATGGAACACAATACAGCAATGAAAATACACAAAAACTACATGAAAATATAGGAAAACATAATACTGAGCAAAATTATCCAAACTCAAAAGAATACCTATTCCATGACACCATTTATATAAAGATAAAACGGAGATAAGTAATCTATGTTAGAAGTCAGACTAGTGGTTGCCTTTGGAAAAGAGAGAGGTTGTGAGTGGGGGCACGGGATGGGGTCTCTGGAGTAATGTTAATATTCTGTTCTGAACCTAGGTGCTGGTTACACAGCCATCAGAATAGCTAACTATGATAATTCATCAAGCTATGGTGACTTTCACAAATTTCTGTATGTTTATTTAAAAAGAGTTTAGGGTGAAAAGCATTAAAGAAGACTAAGAGACATATTTCATTGTATTAAAAGGAAGAGTGATTGAAAATAAACGAACTAAACATTCAATTGAAGAAGCTAGAGGAAAAGGAAGAGTGATTGAAAATAAATGAACTAAATATTCAATTGAAAAAGGTAGAAAATAGAAGGGGAACAAGGGAGAGGAGTAAAGAAATAACAAAGAATAAAGATGAAATTAATGAAAGATAATACATACAAAACAGAAGGATCATGACCAAAAATATTCTTTGAAAAGATTAATAAAAGCAACAAACCATGGGCATAACTGATCATAAGAAGGAGAGAAGGTAAAAATAAACAATACTAGCAATAAAATTGCACAAAGCTAGTAATATAGTAGAGAATTTTGTAAATCTCAAAAGTGATGCCTATGAGCAACTTGCCTTCAAAATTTTTGAAAGATAAGAGAACAATGTTCTAGAGAGGGAACAGATCCAAAATAGATCCAAGAAAAACTAGAAAGCTTGAATACCCCAATATAAGAATCTGGTTCAAAGTAAAACCCCCCTAAAAACCCATGAGATGTGTCATTTTATAGGTGACTCTAGCAAATTTTTAAGAAACAGTTAACTCATTATGCAAATTCTTTGAGTACAGAAAAAGTTGGAAAGCTACTCAGATGAGGCGATTCTTATCTCTGATAGCAAAATCAGAAGAGGACAACAGAAAATAAAGCCATAGGCCATCTGTATTTATAAGCATAGATTAAAGCCTGCTAAATAGAATATTATTCAACCAAATACAGTAATATATTAAAAGAATAATTCATCATGACCAAACAGAAAGTACTCCAGGAATGCAAGGATGGTTCAACATTAGGAAAATCTAATGATATAATTCAGAATATTAATGAAGGAAATGGAAAATATCATCATCTTGTAGGTACCAAAAAGCATTTGATGAAATTCAACATCCATTCATGATTTTAAAATCCTTTACTTGTAAAACATTAAGAAAAACTTGTATAAGTAAGATAAAGGGTTTCAATGTAAAAAATAAATAGCAAGTATCATTCTTAACAGTGAAACAAAAAAACATTCTCACTAAAGTTAGGAAAAAAGATGCATCAGTAAACTATTTCATTAACACAATCTCAAGTGGTCCCTTAATACTGTTTGCTAATCCTTTTACTCTCTCTTAATTTCTTAGTTTTTTCACTCTCTAAATATTCTATTTCACCTTCCCCTCTTCTCAAACTTTGGACATACCTACTCCATGCCACCTAGAATCCTTCAAATGTCCTCTAAGTCCCCACATGGTCTGGCCCACCATTACCTCTTGACCTCACCCCTTTCTACTCTACCCCTTGCTCTCTCAGTTCCAACCACCTTCCTGGCTGTGTCTCAAAAAAGCCTGGTATACTCCTAACTGATGGTCTTTGCACACAGGCAACCTTCCTACCTCCTTCAAGTCTCAGCTCATATATCGTCTTCTCACTGAGGTCTCCTCTGACAGTCGTGTTTTGGATAAAATTAGAGATGATTTTCTCTCAAGAAAACATGTGCTCTCTCAAGAAAACATCTCCAAATAAAACACGTACTGATGATCAGGACTGACTTACACGGCTCTTCAAAATTCTAACCAAATTAGCCTCATCCCATTTCACCATCCCTAATCCAATCACAATTGAATCCAATCAGCTATCCAATCATCTCTTCCAATTGAATCACCCTTCCTTGTTCTAGGAAATGGCCTCTTTTTCAACGGTATTAGCTCGTAAAACACAGGTATTTTGCCTGAAATTTTTTTCTTTGAAATTTCTTAGAAAAAAATATACAAGGGAAAAGACTGCCAACCCCCAACAAGTCTGAAATCATATTTTAAAAATAACAACAATTTGTAAGCTCAAACAAATGGCTTCCTTCACAGCCAGGGCTAAAGTGATGGAAGAATTGCTAAGAAGACACCATATAACTGAGTAGAGAGGAATGACTGGCAGATGATATGGAAGGGTTAATGCCGGGCTCTGTACCACAACATAAATTACCTAGACTCACCTCTCAGGAGGCACAAACATGCCTACTCCTATCTTAAGTTGGTGCATGAAATCAGAGGAGACTTTCTAGAGATTTTGAATCCACTTAAGAGTCACCTTACAAAATTATTGGAAATTTGTAAGTTACGGATTCTGGACAAATTTCCTGGAATTTGCCAGAAACCAAGAGCAGATCCAGGTTTTGTGGGTTCTGAAGGTATACAAATTTCAGGGCCCTCTTAGGAATGGAAAGATTTCCCTGGGAAAGCTGCCAGAATGGGAGGAAAAGAGTGCCGTAAGGCTAGCACAGTTGTCAAGGCATAAAACACCATTAGCATTTGGGTCTCACAAGAACCATGAGGAGGAGAAGAAAACCATGCCAAAGAAATGGGGTGAGGAGGAGTTCCTGGGGAGAAGGCAGCCCCAATCCCTTTAGGGATCACGGTATTTAATCTTCCTCACCCTGCAGTTTCCCCAGTAAGACTACAAAAGATCAGCTTGCTTGCCACTGCTCAAAATAATAGAAACCCCACGCATCTCTTATGGTCCCTAAGAGTCTCGGCGCCAGAGGTCCCTCTACCTTATCCAGGGTCCATTCAGACAAGAGGAAGCTGGGGCTGGGACCCAATTCTCCAACACTCCCATCCCCAGGGGAGGTCACCAGAGTTTGGCTTCTTTGACTAAACATAAACCCTTTTTCCTTTGAGTCTGGGGCAAAAAGCGCAAAGGAAGGGATTGCTCTCTGCGACCCCTGCTGGTGGCTTTTATAACTGTGTATCAAACCAATGTTTGCTGCAGACCAGCATGCTAATGGCAGAGGCCCTTCAAGTGAGCAGTAGTAGCTCTTCGCATCTCTGCCCTAGCTGGACTCTCATGCACCAAAGAACCTGCAGAAGGTGGGATAAGGAGAATCAATACATTCCTCTCTTTTCCAACTTCAATGTCAAAAGGATGAAAGGAGGGTTACAGCTAGTGAAACAATCCCTAGGTCTCTATAGAATTTATCGCTAATAAATGGAGAGTGAGGGAGGAGTGGATGACAATCTGGCTCATCCTTGAGGGAGTATTGTAAACACAATTAATTCAGAGTCTAAAGATTGGGTGGAAGTCAAATAACATCTCTCTCTTCCTATTCCAAATATACCTGATGAGCATTCAGAGTTTTGGTGATAGATTATTATGAAAGAGTAGCATTGTCCAAAAACGACCCTGGATGTTCACCCTAGAATGCCTGAACAATGGACTAACCCAGACCCTTTCCCCCAGCCGGATGGGAAGTGCTCTTGCTCAGCGTCCCATGGGAATAATGGCTTCCTTCTCATGGTTGGAGGACTATACATACCATCCAAAAGAACCCAAGGTCCCCAGCTGCCTCTTACAGTACAGAGCTGCTGGCTTTCCCAGACAGCCTCTGTAAATGGCTGGCATGACATCTAGGCAGCTTGATTCCTCAAGCAGTCTGTATGTCCTTTGCTGTCATCTCCCTATAGGAAGGCAGAGCCATGGGAGAAGGGACCTCTCCACTAGAACAAAACCAGGTCATATCCAACATCCTTCCTGAACATGTCATGCCTCTCTGTGGAGATGCTGAAGAAATGGGGAGACTGTGCGTGCCTTGGTCTTGATGTATTTTCTTAACTCATACTGTATAGCTTTGTGGTATTTGTCCCCATGCCTTGCACAACTGGTGGTAGCCCCACAAGGGGCTGACAGAATTTTTTCCCCATAGAAAAGATAGGAAGAAAGCAAAGTTCCATCAGGTTAGGGTTTTTCCAGGCAAGTATGTCTCAGGGAGAGAGGGACAAAGGTATTGATGGGTTGGATGGAGAGACAAGAGAGTGATTATAATGAATGGGCCATTAAATCTATCCCAGGTGAAAAAGGAAATGAGAACATGAGGGTGCTGATGGAGAATAAAATAGTATATGATGCATGGGCCGAATTTCTCCATTAGGTCAAATAATTCTGTTAGAACACCAGGCAATGTAAGCTAGAAAGAGAATGGGAGGCTTGAAACAGATTTTTTAAATTCGGGGCATTTTTTAACTGTGTCCTTTTTATTGATGTCTTGAAATCTTCCTTTTTACCTTGTGCTATTAAACTTCAAACTGTCTCCCTCTTCCCACATTCTCCCTTCCAAATTTCCGTTCCTTCTCAGT